TAGAGTCAGGAAGACTCATCTTTGTGAATTCAAATGCGGCCTCAGACACTTACTAACTGTGTGACCCTGGGCAAGTCATTAAACCCTGTTTGCCTCAGTTCCTCAACTGCAAAATGAGCTGGAGAAGGAAGTGGAACACTACTCCAGTATTTCTGCCAAGAAAACCCCAAATAGAGTCATGAAGAGGTCGTATATGACTGAAATGACTTAAAAAACAAAATAGAATAGTTCAAGGAATACTTTATGGAAAAAAAGTTACTCCTCTGTACTGATCCTTAATTAAATTATTATTAGAAGGCTAACAACTCTAATGGAGGTTGCTAGGTAGCTCAATGGATAGAGTGCTGGACCTGGAGTCAGGAAGACTTGAATTCAAATCCAGCTTCAAATACTTACTAGCCATGTGACCCTGGGCAAGTCACTTAACCTCTGTGACAAATCACTCCAGTATCTTTGCAAAGAAAACCCCATGGACAGTATAGTCCACAGGGTCACCAAGACTCAGACACAACTGAATGAATGAACAACCACCCCCGCAACAACAAAAACTGTAATAGACAATCTGATTGATAACTAATAGATCCACATGCATAAAATATTGCAATACATCTCAAACTAGGAAAAGTATGTAAAGACCTTGGGCTTAGAACATAGCTTTAAACATGTCATTGGGGGCCAACAACATTAACTAAAATGTACAGTGACAACCGTTTGAACCTATATATGGTCTTTTTGTTTCTTAATGGGGAAATAAGTTTGCTCAAACTGCATTTATTAGAACACTTGATGCTATTATCTTTGCCATTTTCTTCTGTAAATGAGTGGATTTAGGAAATAAATGATGGGGCTCTCCAAATAGAAGGCCCCTAGGAGCAACCAAACAAATTTTATTTGACTATTTAGAGGACATGAGAGGGAAGGGAGGAGGCTGAAGAATTAAATGTGGCTCAGAAGTGGGAGAGGCCACATAATTTTTAGCACAGGGACTCATTCAATTATTTTTTTTTTCTTAAGGAGTGGAGGCCTACATACATTGGATGAAAGCTTTTCTAAAAACTAAAAAAAAATTCTAGTCACCAACTACCACTCTTGTCCTAAATAGAATCAAAAACTTATTGGCTTTGACTAACATTGTGAGATATCATAATACATTATCCTGGAAGCTGCAGAATCTCAATTCCCATCCTATCATAGGACCCACTAAAATAAGAGAACTAAGAGAAATAAGAGAATATAAATATAAAGAAATAAATATATAAAATAAATAAATATATATATAAATATATAATTTATAAAAATATAAAGAAATAAAATAGAGAAATAAGGCAACTGAAGATATGCTTACTTCTGGAAATTCAGCTTAAAAATGATTTTTAAGTACAGAATAGATTCATTAATTTAGGGATTGATTACATACAGTCATTTCCAGAAGTATACAAAAATGAATGGAAAGTGTTAAGGGTTTTTGACATATTTAGTACTTTAAATAGAGTAAAAGTTCAGGTGTTTTGTTTTTACTAAAATATCCATTAAAAACCTGTTGGTAGTAAAAAAAAAAAACCCATATTTTAGAATTAACCTATCACCATGTCACAGAAATAAAATAAAACTTCCTGAGTATACACTATGATCAAATACCAAATCTCCTATTTAAGCGTCACATAATTATTAATGTTTTATGCACTATAAGATTCAACAACAGCTCAAAAGAGTGGTATTGTAGGACTGATGAAAAACATGAAAGCCTGAAAACACCTACTCCAATTTCAAAGTTGAAACAGTTCTATGTTTATTTACAATTTATACTCTACCGAATTCTAATTGAAGGACTTGTATTCAAATACATATAAAACAAAACAATTTAGCTCTACACATATACTCTACTAACCTGCACTTTCAAAAACATGCTTGCTAAATGAAAACATTGTAAAACATATCTAGGAAGAACTGTGGATTGTGACGCTGCCCTACATATTTCGACATGTCTGACAAGTTTCAACCTCCCCCTTGGTGTCAAGGGCGGAGGCAACCAGACACACCCCTGACAAGAGGTGGCCGTCTTGCCCTCTGGTCAAATAATTTTGAGACTATTTTCAAGGTGAGTAATGGCATTTAAGAATTGCATTCTGAGCTTCACTAGATTCTATGCTTTTGGAATAGATTTGGGACTAGCATTGGAAAGGATTTATATTCAAACTGAGGTTTTAATGAAGCTTTTTAAAAGGACTTTACATCTCAAACTGATTGGGAAAGAGAATACCTTGGGGCTTGAAATACAGGGATTGGACAAAATCATCTCCTTCAAAAATAAACAGTGAGATATGGGGAAAGAATGTGCAAATGCAGGGTGTCATAGTCCAGGCCAAAGGAGGTGGGGATTCGATTGCATTAGCCAGGGCCAGGATTATGAAATGGACAGAGCCCAAGTGTGTGTAAATAGAAACATCAAAGCTGAGGTCAGAGCAGCATGAGCTTTCTTCTTCAACTCCTCCTCCTCCTCCTCCTCCTCCTTCCCCTCTGTCTCTGTCTCTTTGTGTGTGTCTGTCTCTCATTGTCAGTCACTGTCTCTCCCCTCCCTCCCTCCTTCTCTCTCTCTCCCTCTCTCTCTTTCTCTCTGTGTCTGTGTGTTTCTCTCTGTCTCTCTCTGCCTGCATCTCTGTCTCTCTCTGTCTCTTTCTCTTTTTTGGAGAGGGATGAAGGGGAACATGGGTATGGAAGCAGGAGTCAGAAAAATGAAGGAGGGTGCCTCTTATCCCGGGACGTGTCTTGTGAACATTAGCTCCATTCAGACCTGAGGTGGAAGTTAGAGCCAAGGTTGGGTGGGAATAGGAGTCAGGGGGCTCCGCTAAATTGGGAAGGAGAGGGGAAAGGAATACAAATTTATATAGTACCTGCTATGTACCAAGCATAGTGCTAAGTGCTTTTTACAAATATTATCTCATTTGATCTTCATAACAACCCTGGAAAGTAGGTGCTATTATTATCCCCATTTTAGAGTTGAGGAAACTGAGTTAGACAGAGGTTAAGTGACTTGCCTAGGTTCACACAGCTAACCTCACCCAGTGTCTGATGTTAGATTTGAATTCAGGTCTTCCTGATTCCAGGATCAACACTCTTTCTACTGCACCACTACCCAGGAAGAGGAGAGGATCAGAGAATCAGATTTAGAGCTAAAAGGGACTTTAAAGACTACTGAATCCAATCCCCTCACTTTACAGACCAAAATACAGAGACAGAGCAACTTGCCCATAGTCACACAGCTACTAAGTATCTGGGGCAGAATATGAACCCAGGTTTTCCTGACTCCAAGCTTAGCACTCTGTCCATTGTGCTGGATAGCCCCTTCCATTCATTCATTCACTCATTCAGTAAATATTTATTAAGCACCTACTATGTGCCAGGCACTGTGCTAAGTACTGGGGATACAAAAAGGGGCAAAAGACAGTCCCTGCCCTCACAGAGCTTACTTCATATCACCAGAGTTCTAGGGAACACAGTTTGGGAAATGTCAGCTTAAAGATTATATATTTCATTGTTTTAAGCAGCATTCATAAGAGAATAATAAATATAATAGCTGAAATTAAAATAGCACTTTAAAGTTTGCAAAACACTGTACATACATTGTCTCATTGGAGCGTTACAATTCTATGAGTAACTACTATGAGCATTGCTGTTTCCATTTTGCAGATGAGGCAACTGAGGTTCATAAAGGGGTTAAATGAGTTGCCCATGACCATAAAGCTAGTTAATGACTGAGGCAAGATTCAAACCCAAGCTTTCCTGACTTCAGGTCCAGCACTCTATCCACAAAGCCAGGTTGAAGGAAATATTAAGCATTGAGAGTAACTCACACTAAGAAATAGTCACTTTTTAATTACCTGTAGCAAATCACAATTTATGACAAATGAGCACAAAATGTCACCAAATGTGAAAGAGAAACACATATGATACTACAGACATCCATCAACCACCACAAAAGCTGTAAAGAAAATGGCTAAGCTGACAATTTTTTCCTATATCTTTCTCACTTCTGTTACCTTTCACCTCTACTATATCTATCTTGTATTTGTATGTTATCTTCCTCATTGGAATGTAAGTCCTTTGAGGACAGGGACCATTTTTGCCTTTTCCCAACGCTTAACACAGTCCCTGCACATAGCAGATGCTTAATAAATGCTTGTTTATTGATTAGTTGAAATAGGAAAACATATCCCATAGGGTTAACAGTACCATTCTTTGTGTTATTAATGCAACAATGCAGAATAAAAAAAAAAGAGTGACTAGAGGCAGGTAGACATTTTATAGGTATATGGACTTTTCGGAATCTGCTACCAAAGTGGATGTACTTATTCACTGAATTGGGAATATGTGATGACCAATGATAAATTAGGACAATTAATTGGGACCTTTCTTGTATTTTGGGTCTAGATTTACCTCAACATGGAGCTCAAGGTGCATCGATGGCTCCTAAAACTACACCTACATGGATTACCTCTTTTAAGTCTAACTCTAATCCACTTATTGGTTTTCTCAATGTTGTGTGGCTGTTTATATTTACTGATCCAAATGAAATAATGTTTGTAGGGCTCTTAGCACAGAGCCTGGCACACAGTAGGTACTATATAAATGCTTATTCCCTTCCCCATAGATATGAGATACTATAACAGCTTTCTGTCATCTAGCATAATCACTATTCATGAACACAGTTAGTCTTGCTAATAAATGTTTAATGCTCCATATAATATTTTGAAATATTTTATTCACATTTAGACATTGAAAGTTGCTATTCTACAAATGTATTGATTAATGGGAATGATAGTCAATTTGATTGCCTTGTGTTAGTTTGTACTCCTGAAGAAATAGAATCTAAGCTATGACATTTTCTCCTTTAAGGAGTTTTTTTTTCCCCACTGACTAACATTAAAACCTAAGAAAGGACACGAATGATAATTTTCAGCTCCATTGGCTGAACATCAAGAAATCATGTTACACGGTTTTACCTGACAGACATATTTGTTCTTCCATTTGCTCAACACACATCGACTGTTTTGCATCAGCTCCTAAATGACACAGAAAAACAAAGGAGAGGAAAATTGGCCGTCCCGTACACAAATACATACGTACATACATGCATGCATACATACTGTCATTATCAGTTAAAGTGCTTCTAATTTTCGAGCAGAGGAGATTAGCATGCCACACAAAGATGCATCTGTTTGGAAACTGCTCACTGGACAAAAGCAAAGTTATCATCACCTGGAGGGCTGATCCTTTATGAAAATTAAAACTGTTGAAAGAAGTTTATAACAAAGATTGTTTGTTGTCATTCTTAAAACTTTGTGAAAGGTACCTCCAATTCCTTGAGAGTATCTCTCAGTTTTTCTGGACGTCGATTCTTGAGTATCCAAGGATAATCTCGTGCTAGCAAACAAAACACAGATTGCGTTTAGATAAATGTGGATTCTTTAAAAATCAACATAGAAAAAATCCTACTCACTATCAGAAATAGATTATAAAATTTAAAGTGGATATATATGAATGAGATGGAGTAGGTTTCACTTCCACTGTCAAATGACAACCTTTTGAAAAGTTTCACTATAGGAACAAGATTTTAACAAATAATGACCCCAGTAACTATAATTTTGTAATGGCAACCACATATTTGGCTTTCAGAGACAATGTGTAAATTTCCCAGTTCTGAGAATCTAGCTCATTAAGGTACAGGTATCGAACTGTTTCTTAAGTAATCATTCAGTTTAGACATATGGAAAATGCAGGGCAAAAATTGTCATTCCAGAATTTCAAATACATTATTTTCATATAATAAAGGAGATAATCAATTAATGAATACAATTGTCACATGTGTACTTATTTTTAATAAATGCAAAACTGGGAATAATTGAAAATTTGGCATCAAAAGTTGGATTTTTACGCAACCAGAAAAACCAACAACTGAGGATAAGCCAGATTTAAAGGAAAAATATTGATAAAGTTAGAAACATTCTTGTGCTTAAACAAGTTATCTTTTTAAAAAAGTACTTTTAAATATTTAAAAATCTCTAAGACCCAATTTGTTTTAAAAGCATTTATTTGAAAAATGAAATCTAGCTATAAGAAACACATTTAAAAATTACAGACATCAAGGAATTGAAATCAATTTGGCTAAAGAGAAGCATTTAATACATGTTAAATACATTGTGATGCTATATGTTCAGTATGAAAATGAATAAAAATATTCTTTATTCACCTGGTTATAATTCTAAATAATAGGGTGGAAAAGTTACATAGTCAATTGCGGCAGCTAAGTTATTGTAGTAAAACCACTTTCCTGCTTATCTTTTCTAAATCAACCTAATTCTAAGTACAATAAACTTAAAATTTGTGATGCAATCAATATTAAAAATTTTAAAAGTTGCACATGGCAGCAGCCCTCATTTTAAATGAGGGCAAAATGTTTCAGGTATTTTTACTTTTTCCTAAATTTTATTATTAAAACCATATTACTGTATTTACTGTGATGTACAATCATTAAACTGTATTATTAAATAATTATAAAGCATATATTTTAAAATTTGTGTGAATATGGGGACATTAAATTTTAATAGTACTCATGGTACAAAACATTCACTATGAAAGTAAAAGTCAACATAAATTCATTTTGTGAGAGTAGTTAATAGCTATATTATGTTTATATAAAATAGACTTACTCAAACTTTGGGAAGACATAGATTTTAACAGACTAAATCAGTGAGATCTAAGACATGATTCTTATTAATGTATTCATTTCACTAAAGAACATGAACATGAACATGAAACAAAAAAAATTCAGAATGAGAAATACCTTTGTGCATAAAGCTGGGTGTTATTTCATTATTCTGTCAGAAATATAAGCAACAATAAAATATGATAACTTTATAGCAATTCTTAAAAAAAACATAAAAGATGCTTACATTCTGCCAATTGTTGCTTCTCTTCTAAGTAACCATGATCTGTTGGTGAAACTATCGGGGAAGGAGAAGCAATAAAAGTTTAGTAGTCAACTTTATAACTTTTGTCATGAAATTACTGTAAAGATTTAAAAATTATTCTAGGGCAAACACCATTCTACAAAGACAACAGCTTTGTTTTCACTTCACAGAGATATCTTAAATTTGCAGTGAAAGAAGGCTTATTCAGTACAACAGGTGGACCAATATTCCTGAGCCTCCAGTCTCATCAGATAGTGAAGTGAGCTGCAACTGAATCCTGACCAGAAGCTGAGTCAGTCTGTCAACAGAACTATGGAAACAACATATTAACCACCAAGCTAAGCACTCAGGATGCCCACACAAGCTCTACCTGAACCTGTACTGAAACAGGAAGTAACTCTAGCTGGAAAGACCTTTTGGCCCATCATGAAACTTCTAGGATTAACAGGATTAATCAGATAAAGAAAATTGATCATTCACTCAGAAATGCCTATTTCAGATACCAGGTGAGGAGTCAGGAGCACAGAATAGGTGCAGTTCTATGCATTTATGATGCCCTCTACTGGGATGCCAATTAATAGAAGTGACTGGACAGTCCAGCAATCAGTATGATCAATAGAAAAATGTAAATTTTTCTTGCTACCTCACATTAAAAAAGACTGTATTACATGAAAAACATACCAACTTTGAGAATTTCTAGGAAAATAGACTTTTCCTGAATAATCCATTCCTAGAGATAATATGGATGGTGTTCTAAAGTTCTCATTTTTTCTTATCATCTAGGATATTTAATTTAATTAAAATGTTAATAGTATACTTCTTTTACCTGAGTCTTTCTTCTCATAATACTGGTAGATCCCAATGTCTCTGTCTAAATAATGAGAAGAAATAACATTAAGTTATGGTAAACACCTTTAGGGGGAAAAAACTAAGTCAGATTGGATTTTAGCAGGGGGAACCCCAGAAGAAGACACAAAAAGAAAATTCTAATCAGCCAATGGAGAATGAAGACAAATGACCTGGAAAGAGACCTGGTTGGGGTTGTGATCCTCCTTACTCTGGCTCAGTCCAGCATTCCTGGACCCATACTAATCCTGTCCTGTAGCTGACTAAATCCCTCAGGGAAGGTCCACCAACTACCTGGTCATCCAGAGATTTATAGGCAGTTTGTTGAAGGAATGGAGAGAGATATGGTTTAAGCAGAATGAACTTCTGAGGGTCATTCAAATTAGAATCTACCGCTGTGGCTACACCAGAACTAACTGGGATGGGGTTGTTTTGAAAGGTGAGTTGATATTTCTCAAGCATTTGGCTCTATCTCAAACTTTAATGACAGGAAAGCAGATTAACTTTAAAAACTTATTTTTTCATATATGTGTATGTATATACATATATATATATATATATATATACACACACATATATATATACACAGAGAGAGAGAGAGAGAGAGAGAGACATGAATATGAATACCTTCCTCTGTTCAACTCCTGTACTGAAATAATCAGCTTGTGTTTTCTTTTGGGTAACATAAATTGTTCTTCCATAATGACAAAAGGACTACTGCTAATATATTTGAGAGCAGTATGGACTGCCCCCTAGTGACTAAATGTAACTTTGACAACTTTTCTCTCATCAAAATATAGCAGTTATTTGTACTTACTCAGCTTGTCCCCTTCAACACACAATTGTACTTGTATTTTGAATGAAGCAATTTATTTCTATTTGTTTACATTTGTAAAGTATTTTTTTATTCCAAAGAATTTAAAATTCCATGTCTTCACTTTTGCCTAAGCTATAATATGAAAGTCTAGAAATATAGCAAGCAGAGTCCCCAGCTCTCTGAAATCTGAATTGCAGTACTTGAAACTAAGCCAAATCCCCACATCCAAGTACTAGGTCTCTGGCATAGGGCTAAGTAAAGCCACTACCTCAAAACCAATGCTTCACCTTGGCTCAGTTAGAACTACCCAAGTCATAAACAGCCCTAAGGACTTCAGCTTTTTCTCAACTGTTATTTACACAGCCCCAGTCTTAGATGACAAAAGTATTTTAGGTTCTGAGAAAGAACTCAGTCCAGAATATTCCAGCTACACATACTTGCCCTATAGCTGATTTCTAAGCCCAGATACAGTACCAGTTTGAAGTATGAATACCATCATGAGCTCTGTGTACTATAAGTAAAATGAATGTCTATACTCAATCTGTGAAACATTTCTATCACTTTTAAAGAATCAGAAAGAAGCAATATGACTTGTTGACTTTACATACAATTTCAATGTTTCTTTTTATAGAGAGGAAAAAAACCCATATTTTCCCATGTTTCCCTGAAATGTAGCCTTTAGTGTCCTTGAAATCATGTTGGATTCCATGCTTACACTGTTGTTACATAAACTTGGAAAAGTTCCTAAGCAGTTCCACATATGACTTTCTCTACTTACACACAGGTGCTAATAATATGTCTCTCTATTTACTTCACTTAGTCTTCTAAGGATATAGGGATATTGCGTTAATACCACTGTTGGGCTTTCCATGAAAGCATTATGAATCATACCATTAACTATATCTCTAGTACACAGACTTAACCAAGTAAGTCTGATTTGCAGATTGTGTGCAATAAAATGCACAGGCTTTCTCAACCATGAGCTTGCATTGCATCAGTCAACACTTCATTCTAATTAGTTAATAACACTTAAATCCTAGCAACAGATGAATAATATTTTAATTAAAATTAATTTTAATTTTAATGGGGAAGCTGAATGACTGGAAACATTTTTCAGAAAAGTTAATCTTAGTGGAATTATTTTTTTTAATTCATCTCTTAGCTCTAAGGTACACTGTCATCAGTGCTCACCAGCAAAAAAAAAAAATAGCAAGGGCATACATTCATCTTTTCCAAATCTCAAGCTGAACATCTTACTGAAAATTCTTATGTTAGGTGACTTCGGTACTGCAAACATCTATATCTAAATTTAATATCTCTATGTTTTAACAGACTTTCAATTATGGATTTTTCAAAGTTTACATATGTCTGTGTTTACATACATATATAAATTCTTCCTGCACAAAAAAGAAACATTTCAGTTATCTTTTTTTAACTTACTTTTCATCCAATAAGTCATCACCTTGTCATAAAGATAAATATACCTGATACTATTTTTACCTTATATTCCCAATTAATCAAAAATGTTGAAATAGTTAAAAGAATTTAAACATTTAAAAATATTTAAGTTAACACAAAATAACTTGCACTAATATTATTATTAAAGTTGTAAAGGAAGCAATAACTTCTGTTGTGGTTTTCACAATAAATACTGAAGTAGTTCTTAATCTTAAGTATGACTACTTTCTCACCCATATGAAACAACAGTGAGTATAATTCCCATGAACGTAGGAAAACAAGAGTAGGGGATAGTTTTATGTCTTTGACATTATGCAAAAATAGTAGTTTTTACATAAGGTATTTTACCATTAATGAATCCAAAAGTTTATGGTTTTAACTTACATATGTATGTACCAAATATATATGTGTGTATATATATATATACACACATATATAGGTTAATAAGGTAAGCCTGCCCTCAAATAAAAAAATTAAAACTTTTTGGGGGAAAACTCAAATAATTAAAGAAAATAATTTCAAATACTTGTTTCTTAATGGAATATGCTTGAAATCTAAGCTTTATTCTATGTTTCAAAGCACTTTTCTCTACCAAAAACATTTAAAATACTAAGAAAATGAAAGAATGTAATAGTAATTAGGTATCTTCCCTGCATATGTCTAAAATTGTTATTTTAGTATCAAATTACTTGTCTATTATCAGCTAGCCTACTAATACTAATAAATAGGAATTAGCTAGTAGTGGAATCCCAGAATAAAATTGGAAATGTATATCTTAAAAAAAAATCAGTCACAATAAAATTAACTTTCACTACTGAAAATTCTACTCTAATGTAAGCTGAAATAAACACACTGTTCATCAAGATAATAAGAAGAAATTCTATAATACTTAATAATAAGTTAATTTGTGAATAACTAATTATTAACATATTTTAAATTTAAACAAGTTCACATATGTAAAGCACTTTGAAAACATTACAGCTTATATGAATGCAAGCCATTTCAATATAAAAAAGCAATAACTGCTCAATTAGAATTTCCAGGCTTTAGTATTAATTATGTGTTTTCAATTTTGTTATTTTTCTTTAAAGAAGAATAAAACTGGTCTAGAGTTGACTTACCTTCAATACGTAAGGTATTCTTTAAAGACCAGAGGTGCAGTTCAGTCAAGCAGAAAGACATCGGTTGGCAGAAAGAATCTCTGTCCTGCAAAAGGAAAAAAAATTGAAAAAGTGCCAATTAATTATTTTTGATCATTAATGAAACTAAGTTTCAGAAAGAATCATTTGTTATTAGTAGTATTTGAGAAGCAAAATAAAGTAAAATAATCATAATTCCATTGCTTTACTACTTATTTTTGCCACAAAGAAGGATAAGTTCTAGCAAAATAACTGAAAATTTTTCAGATTTAATGTACTGTCATACCCAGAAAGGTGATAGAAGGAATATTCATATTCTGAATTTTTAATTAATTTATTTTTAGTTTTCAACATTCACTTCCACAAGATTTTGAGTTCTAAATTTTTCCCCATCTCGCCCCTCCCCAAGATGGCTTGCATTCTGAATAATCCTTCCCCTAATCTGTCCTCCCTTCTATCACCCCCCCTCTTATCTCCTCCCCCTTCTATTTTCCTGTAGTGCAGGACAGATTTCTATACCCCATTGCCTGTATATCTTATTTCCCAGTTGCATGAAAAATGTATTTTGAATTTTTAATAGATTAGAAGCTGATAGTTTTGATTTTTAAAGATCTGAATATACTCAGAATAATTTTAATAAGAATCTTTTATATATTTAGTATCCTGACTTCCACTGTACATTCATTTAGATGTTATAGACATATTTCTGTTGCATTTTAATTTCATATATATGTACATATACATTTATGTTTATAATAAGAAGCATTTACTATCTCCTAAACACAAGATGGTCGAATTAAAATGAAAGTTGCAAGAAGAGTGTTGTATAGTTCCTATTACCTTACTTACAGCATACATTTGCTTTAAAGTAAACTACATGAAACCATATTGGCATTCAGATTAGTTTGCTAATCTGCATGTTATGCTGGATCCAGATATCTAGTTCCAGTTACATAAAGAATATTATAACACTTCCCATATTTACTTTCTGTTCAATAGCAAGATCTAATGATCAATACCTTTCTTAAATAGTTAAACCTCATTAACTTGACATAATTAGAAGAAAACCAGTCTGAATTTTTTAGCCTTTTAAAGAAAATACAGTTTAATTACTTTCAAATAATATATAAATAAATTATCAAGATTTATTTTCCCCTAAAAGGTAGTAAAATAAATGATTATCAAGTGAATGTCTCAGTAACTAAAGAACTTTGAAAATTTCTCTGGAAATTTTTGGTAGGAGAAAACAATTGCCATCTTCTCTAAAAGAGTGACTAGAACATTAACTATTATGTACGCGTACATATACATATACATATTTCACAGATAGTATTTTATCATTAATGAATCCAAAAGCTTATGGTTTCAATTTAAACACAAATGTAACAAAATAGTATTTAGATAGATAGATACACACATATATAGAATCTATATTGTGATCCAAATATATATAGAGAGAGACATATATATACATATACATAACATTTACATTAAACTGAGTAGTTCCCACTTAAACATTCTGTTGACCATTTCACAAATAACTGAAAGCCACATATAATGCCAAAAATTATTTTTAGCTACAGCTTAAACTTTCTCCTCCACCAACTTTTATTAGCCTAAGAAGAAGGAAGAAGGACCAAATTTGTTATCTCTCCCTCTTTTCTTCAATTTATTTCAATTCAAGGAACACTGAATTCTCCAAAGAAATGAAATAACTTATTGATGTGTAAATGAATAGGAGAGATGAAACAAAGGACCCCAAAATTAGTCCCTGAGTAGGCCCAACAGCATTTGGGCAAGGATCAATAGAGAAGAAAAGGGAGCAATATCATCACCCCATCACCCAGTCAGAAAAAGGGAAAGGTGAAGAGCTTGGAAAACACATCACAAACATGGCCCAGAAGCATGATATGGCAATAATGAAAACATTCAATCATCTAGAAATCTGTTTGGCTCTTCTACTGCCCATGGCCGAGCAGCTACTGACTTCCCTAATTGGAAATCCCATTCTTCAAAATGTAGAAGGATAAATAAAGGGAAGTTATTTTTTATTTGATTCTAAACAATTAGAAAAATGGTGTTGAAAGTAGAAATTATGAGTGAAGACAAATACTCTACCTTAGAAATGGCAATAGAAAAAAAGAGGGAAGTTAGGCATGGTATGACATGTGCCCTACGTTTTAGAAGAATAGATTTCAAAGAGTTTAGAGAAAAGATCCTAAAGATTTTACAGCATAAATTTCTATAGGGACAGTCCAAGAAGGAAGGGAAGTTTTCAAGAATGAAATTCTACCAACACAAACTTTTCAGTTCTAAGGAGGAAGAAACGGGTTAGCTGTCTAAACAAAAGGGTGTGTCTTAACAAGAAGTTCAGTGACCATCTCAGATTTTTTTAAAGATGGGTATATAGAAGAGGAAATCAGGGGTAAGTAAGCACAAAATAACGAATACAAAACACTGGCATTGTCTCTTTAGAATATGTTTAGGAGTTCTAAATCTCAGAAGAGGATGAATGTAAGGACAACAAAATGAAGTTTTTTGTTTTGTTTTGTTTGTTTTTAGCTGTGCTGAGAAGAAGTAGATAAAAGAAGGGAAAGGATCATTGCTCATAATGGATGAGACATTGATGACAAATAAAGAAGGAGAAAGAAGAATTACACAACTGGACTATCTGAAAATTATGACCAAAAAATTAGCCTGGCTACTATATTTGAAAGACTTTTAAATGAAGACTGCCAAGTTCTATTACAATCAGAAGGCAAAACAAAAATAGAAAGTATTCACCAGTCACATCCTGAAAGAAACTCCAAAATTAAAACTCCAAGGAGTGTCATAACCCAGAATCTAGATCTTCCAGGTCAAATAAAAAATACTGCAAATACGCAAAAAGGGGTCAAGTACCAAGGAGCAACAGTCAGAATCATCAGTATCAATCATCAATCAATAAAACTGCTACTATAAAAAATTAGCAAGCTAGGAATGTTATATTCCCAAAGGCAAAATATAAGGGATTACAAACAAAATCTATTCAATAAAATTCAATAAAGTAATCATATGGAGGGAAATGAACCTTTAATGAAATAGAGGACTTCTAATCATTCCTAATGAAAAGACTGGGCAGCTGGGTGCTGGGCCTAGAATGAGGAAGAAAAGACCTGAGTTCAAATCTGGCCTCAGACACTTAGTAGCTGTGGGTCCCTGATCAAGTCACTTAATCCTGTTTGCCTCAATTTCCTCATCTGTAAAATGATCTGGAGAAGAAAATGGCAAACCATTCCAGTATCTTTGCCAAGAAAATCCCAAATGGGGTCACAAAGAGTCTGACACAACTGAAACAACTCAACAATGAAAAGGCCAGAACTAAGTAGAAACTTTGAAATGCAGGTGTCAAGAGAAACACAGAAAAGTAGATACATTTGATCAGCTAGAAGGGAATATGTGATGATATATTATTTACAATATAATAAGGGAAAAGAAAGAATGTTCTCTCAGAATGCTAAGGTTTTGAAGGGTTACATAAAATGTTAAGAAGGGGAAGGGAATGTAGATGGTTTTGTTCTACTTGATGGTGTTATGAGAAGAAGAAATTGAGAAAGAAATGGGAAATATACTAGGCAGAAAAGGAGGAGAAAGGGGAGGAATTTACTTTCTCACATACAGTACATAAAATGGCAATTACACAAATAGGAAAAAACAAACAACAAACAAAACAGTTGGGTACCACATGAACCTCAGTTTCATCTGAATCAAAGGAAGAATGAATACACGCACAATGACACACATTTATACACATACACACATAAACTATGGTAAAGAAAAGCGTTGTGGGAGCAGAGCTAAGATAGGGGAGTGAAGGCAGGGACTTGCCTGAGTTCTCCCCCAAACCCTTCCAAATATCTTTAAAAAATGACTCTAAACAAATTTTAGAGCAGCAGAACTCACAAAAAGATGGAGTGAAACAAATTTCCAGCCCAAGACAACTTGGAAGATCAGCAGGTCTGTTGCTACAGGGTGAGAAAGGAGTACAGTCCAGCACAGGCCTGGCCAGCACAGACCAGGCCCCAGCAAACCAGGAGCAGACCTTGAAAGTCATTGAATCAGCAATGGCAAAGGCTACTTCCAGAGCTCTCAGCCCACAGACGGTAAGGGGGTCAAACAACAGGTCAGGAGATCACAGGGATCTTTTTGCTAGCACTGAGGCAGGGCTCCGTGGCTTCGTCCATACGTGGATGTGGGTCTCAGCCCTGGGTGGCAGCTCCAGGGTGAGGAGGAGCACTAGCATAACAGAGCTTATGGCTGTTGCGGAGGAAAGACCCTCCTTACAATTCCAGGGCAGAAAAGAGTGCTTGTGGTCACTCACAGACCAGAGTACAGGCCAGGAGAGTAGTAAACACCCATCTCCTTAAATTATGCCACCTTTAAAAAAAAAATTATGCCACCTTGGAAGAACGGAAAACTTTCAAGTCTTTAGAGGTATCTTGGAAACAGCTGCACAAAACTCCTGAAGCTTGGGACAGTGCACCCTCCACCCTCCAACCTGAAAGAAGAGACCTCTTTTAACAAAGAGTTAAAAGTCAAGTAATAGGCTGAGGAGATGAGCAATCAATGGGAAAAATAACCCAGACTATAGAAAGTTACTATGGTAACAAGTAAGATCCAAACACATACTCAGAAGAAGACAACAAAATCAAAGTTTCTATATCCAAACCCTCCAAAAAAATTTGAATTTGTCTCAGGCCATGGAAGAGCTCAAAAAGGATTTCAAAAATCAAGTAAGAGAGGTAGAGGAAAATTGGGAAGAGAAATGAGAGTGATGCAAGAAAAATGAGTCAACAGCTTGGTAAAGGAGACACACAAAAAAATACTGAAAAAAAAATACACCTTAAAAAACAGACTAGGCCAAATGGTAAAAGAGGTTCAAAAAGCCAATGAAGAGAAAAATGCCTGAAAAAGCAGAATTGACCAAATGGAAAAGGAGGTCCAAAAGCTCATTGAAGAAAATAATTCCTTAAAAATTAGTATGGAGTAAATGGAAGCTAATAACTTTATGAGAAATCAAGAAACAAT